ACACTTTACCAAAAGTGATATAGCGCAGCGTGAACGAAAAGAACAAGAGAGCAAATCTCAAAATATCGTGTATTATTCTTCAATGGCCGCCAGCTAATGACAAGAAATGATAAATAAAAAGAGTTCCAAGCAATCCAAATACCTATCTTGCTAGACACGTAAATTCATAATAGTATAATTGTTAGTGTTATCCTACCAACTTAATAAAAATAAATAAAGAATAATAATAAAATATACAACACCATCGCAATCTCGTCTCCATAAAAAAATTAATAATTGTAAAAGTTTAATTAATTACATTCTTTTATTATTCTTCTTACTTTTCTATCTACCGTATAGTTAAATATTGATATGAAAAATTACATTTTTTTTTAATGCAATCATATATATTTTATTAGGAGTTTAAATTTTCATCATCTGATTCACAAATAAATATAGTCTTAACTAAAAACAAAATTTTATTTTATGTATTTGTAATATTGTTAAAGTGATTAAAAAAAAAAAGAATAAGATGATATAAAAAAGGAAAGTTAGAAAAATATATCAACATTTCATTATAATAGATTTAGTTTTTTAAAAAGATAATCAAATTCTTCTCCGAACCAAACCGTACAAATCCAAACATTACAATAGCCCCCGAAACTTCGAAATGTACCATTTCAAAATATAATATCTCCAAACCGAATCGAACCGACTCATATTCAGCCTAGTTGTCAAACTGACTCACTTCACTATGTTGAGAAGACAGATGCCATGCAATTACTCGTACATGGGAACGTGCAATTTGTTTTTGTGTGCCTTGTCTACAACCCTCTACAGAATCAGAAATGAATGGGGCCTCACACCTCATCCCACCGCGTACACAACGTGTATCTGATATATTTTCTTCCCAATTATTATCTATATATTTATTTATTTTTATTGAAAAAAAGAAAATAAAAGACCATCCAAGAAATAATTATCCTGAAATAAAATATTCAGTTCCAACAGTTGAAAAAGGGTTGAAACAGTGAGAGCCGTGATTTTCCCCCGCTGCTGACCCATTGAGAGATAAAGGGCCGCCATTAAACTTCGTGGTTGATTTGGCTTTGAGCACAATTCGAAGTATATCCTCTTTTATCCCCTTTTTTTTGTTTTGTTTTTTTCCCCACATGTGCTGTGAGTATTATTTTACTTTCTTGGAAGTTGGGTTCAAGCACAAGAGTTTTATGTGTATTTATATGCTTCTTTGAAGTGGTTTGAATGCGAAAGTTTGAGGCTTTTTTTTTTTTGTTTCTTTTAGGATTCTATATTTTGTTTGGAATTGGATTTCTTTACTGAGTTCTGGTATCGGGCCTTTTGGGATCCATAGGATTTGGTGTTAGTTTGGACTCAAAAGTTTAGTGCTTTTCTTGCTGATTGAAGATTATTAGGCTGAGAATTTTCTTCAGGATTTCAATTCCGGATCTTTTCTAGTGTAGGTTCCAGTTCTTTGCGATCTGTGCTGAATTTGTAGTCTGTTGGGTTGCAGGGAGATCTCTCTCTCTCTCTCTCTGTCTCTCTCTCTCTCTCTCTCTCTGGCGTATGCGGTCATGATTAGTTCTTCATTGTTCTATACCTTGTTTTTTCAATGTGTAATTTTACTAATTAAATATGATTAGACTAATAATTGTCTCTCACTATGATTGTGAGTTGTCATTGAGTTGCTAACGGAGCTTGCTTGTTGTTTTGTTCTTTTTTCTTCTGTGTTTTTTTTCCTTCTAATGGAGCTTGCTATTCATGCCCTTTAGTTCCATGTTCTCAATTTTTTCATAATAATTGGTGCTCCTTTTCCCTTGACTCCAAGTGTCTGCTTGCTTGATGCCTCGATCACATTTGTCTGCAACCAGAAGCATGAATGTTCCTATTCTCGTGTCTTATGATGTTTGAGTTGTTTGATGATACAAAATAACAAGAAATCTTGTAAAAAATCTAACTTATGATATCTTAGTATAATAACTAAATGAAAGACAAGAAGTACAAAAAAAATTGTGCAAAATAGCGGATTTGGTATCTTACAGTGTTTGATTTTGAATCAATAAGCATTTTTTCAGTGGCTGATAGCAGAATTGTCCTCGTATTCTCTTCTTTGTTTTGCCTTTTCGAGTAATGTCCTAAGAGAGGAGGGAACAAGATTCGAACCAGAATTAGCCTGTGATTTTGACACACACCCTTAGTACTTATCGACACTTGCTCTCAGCATATGTCTAGCTTGTTTATTCTTTTGATTTATCTTTTTTGTGGAATAAATATAGTTCTAGAATATGAAATACTTGAACATGGTGAAATTGCTTCAGGAACTTACACCTTTTACCCAAGTGTTAATCCTGCGCGAATGAGTCAACCCAAAATTAAGCGGAGAATTGGAAAGTACGAGGTGGGGAGGACAATAGGCGAGGGAACATACGCTAAAGTTAAATTTGCTAGAAATTCTGAGAATGGACAACATGTGGCTATCAAGATCCTTGACAAGGATACTATCCTTAAGCACAAAATGGCTGAGCAGGTTAAATGTTATTCATTCGCCTCTTCATAGAACTTGATTATCTATTCATCATTGGCAGTCATGCTTGTTTTCATCTTGAATTTGTCCGCGAAATGAACTTCTTCAGTTATGGTTATCGATGACCCCTAACAAACCTTGTGCACTATTTTGGCAGCTTAAGCGGGAGATAGAAACAATGAAATTGATCAAACATCCCAATGTTGTGCGCATATACGAGGTCTCTCTCTCTCTCTCTCTCTCTCCCTGTGTGCGTGTGTGTGTGTGTGTGTGTGTGTGTGTGTTTATGTGTAGCATGGAGTACTGGCACCTGTGTTGGAGAATATGCACAATTCTCTCAATGCAACTTTAACAAGTTCATTATCTGTTGGGTATATCTTATTTGCAAAATACGCTCATGTAAGCTTCTTTTGTAGCTCGGTCATCATGACCGTAACCGAACATACTGATTTGGAGTTCATTGTTTATCTAATTGTTGTTTCTTTCTTCAGGTGATGGGGAGCAAGACAAAGATATATATAGTTCTGGAGTTTGTTACTGGGGGAGAGCTATTTGACAAAATTGTAAATTCAGAAATTCATCCTTTTTAAATTTTATTTATGAAAGCATGCAATATTCGGAGACCCTACGAGCCTTTTTTTTTTTTTAAATTATAACTGTTTCCAACTGTGAAGGTGAATCATGGACGGATGCGAGAAGATGAAGCCAGAAGATACTTTCAGCAACTCATTGATGCAGTTGATTATTGCCACAGTAGGGGGGTCTTCCACAGGGATCTCAAGGTAGTTAAAAATATGTTTCCTTTTTTCTTTTAAAATTCTTTTGGTTAAATTATGCTGTAAGTATCTGCCAGAATATACACACATTACACTTGCCAAAGAAAAAATGTTTAATTTATGCATCGTCCTGCCTCTTTTTTTTGCCCCCTAAACTCATGCAGCCGGAAAACTTGTTGCTGGATTCTGCTGGAAATCTGAAAGTTTCTGATTTTGGATTAAGTGCCTTGTCACAGCAAGTCAGTGTAATGTTCTTCCCTCAAACTTTTGATTCAGATACAATATGTAAGAAGAGTCACTAGAACGAAGCTTAGCAGAATATTAGTCCCTTTCAGTTCCTGGA